TCTGATCACTACCCAATATGTGCCACTAGAAAAACAAAATGCATGCCGCAAAAAGGAAAACACATAGAAATTCAGTATAGAGACTTCAAAAAGTTTGATGAAAATAAATTCCTCCAAGACTTAAAACAAATAGAATTTAACAATCTCCTCCAGATGCATGACCCTAATGAAATACTAACTGAATTCTATGAATTATTTAATAGCGTACTTGACCAGCATGCACAGGTTAAAACAAAACGAGTAAAGAGTGAAATCCGTCCTAAATGGATGACACAAGAAATAAACAATGCTAGACATTTACGGGACTATTACCACAAAGAAGGAGACATGGAGAACTATAGAATTTATCGAAACAAAGTTAGCGTTCTCATAAACAAATCAAAATCTTCTTATTATAAAACAGCGATTGAACAGAGTTCAAATCCCAAAGAAATGTGGAACTATCTTAATCAATTAACATGTAATCTTAAGAATACAACTCCATCTCATGTGTCTTCTAATGGTGAAATTGTTGACAATTTACAGGATATTGCAAATACTTTTAATAACCACTTTACGGATGTCTCTAACAAGCTTCTATTGGATATGCCAAAACATGATTATGATCCTAATATATTATGTAATTTTGTTAGGTCTAAGCTTGATGAAGAAACATTGTTTAGTATTCATCAAATTGAGGAAAGTGAAGTTTATAACATGTTAAATTCTCTAAATATCAATAAATCAGCTGGCATTGACTTCATTGGGCCACGTCTTCTGAAAGTCACATCTAAATATATATGTAAACCTATAACTCATCTTATTAACGCTAGCATAGCAAGTGGTATTTTCCCGACAAATTTAAAACAAGCCAAAGTAACACCTATTTTTAAGAAAGGTGACAAAGCTGACCCGAATAATTATCGTCCTATTTCTATTCTACCAACTATATCTAAATTGATAGAAAAACATGTAGCTAAGCTAATACAAAATTTCACTAATGAATTTGATCTACTAACACAATCCCAGTCGGGGTTTAGGGAACTCCATTCCTGTCAAACTTCACTTACAAAACTAACAGAAAGTTGGCTTACTGCAATGGATCGTGGTGAATTAATCGGTATAACATTTATAGATTTTAGTAAAGCATTTGATTTAGTGAATCATGATATTCTTCTAGAGAAATTAACCCATTACAAATTTGACCAAACAGCTATAAAGTGGTTTAAATCATATCTTTACGATAGGACCCAGTGTGTTAAATTTGGATCATGTGTCTCCAATATTCTACCCGTCACAGCAGGAGTGCCACAAGGGTCAATTTTGGGCCCACTTTTATTTTTATTGTACATAAATGACCTTTCATTACATGTAAACAATTCAAATATTGATATGTTTGCTGATGATGTAACTCTGTATTCTAATAATAATAATGCAAGATGTTTAGAAAATACACTAAATTCAGATCTTTGTGAGATTGAGAAATGGTGTGCTCAAAATCAAATGGTTTTAAATGTAGATAAAACAAAATGTATGTTAATGGGAACACAGCAAAGAAAATCAAAATTAGATAATCCAAATTTACAACTTTATGCCTCAGACAAAACAATTGAAATGGTTGAAACTGAAAAAATTCTTGGTGTACATATTGATGATAAGTTACAGTATGCAAATCATATTGACTCGGTTTGTAAAACGATAAATTATAAGTTATTTACTCTTCGAAGGATTAAGAAATTTCTCCCTCTACATACCAGAAAACTATATTACAATGCTTATATTTTACCATCTATTAACTATTGTTTGACTATTTGGGGTAATGCCCCCAAGCAGGACATGGACAGACTATTTAAATTACAGAAAAGGGCAGCAAGGATTATTCTTGACGCAAGTCCAGATTCTTCTTCTAAACCACTGTTTGAGAAACTTGGATGGTTAACAGTTTATGAGCTAGTTGATCTATACAAATACATATTATTATACAAAATTTTCAGTGGAACGACTCCCCAATATCTTTGTAATTTATTTGAATTTCATTCTTCTACTTCTTATAATCTACGATCTGAAAGTAATTATGATCTAAGATTGCCGAAATTTCGTACAAACTTATTCAAGACCTCTTTTCAGTATTCAGGTGTACATCTATGGAATAAACTTCCCCAACACATTAGATTCTCTCAATCTCTACGAACATTTAAGCGTAATATAGAAAATTACATCATCAGCTGTCGCACAATTTTTTGAGGACAATAAGGTTTCGATATTGTATATTGTATTATGATTGTTAAAACTATACATGGACATTATATTCATAATCGTATGATTGTAATTCCTTAAACATATTACTATTATATATGATGAATTGTATTCTGTATTATTTTTTGTATTTGATATATATAGAAGGCCCTGGGGAAGAATAGTGCATGCACTAACCAGGTTACCTTCTTTAAATAAAGTATTTATTATTATTATTATTATTATTATTATTATAAGGTCACTTACAAGTTGACCAAAATGTATAATTAATAAAAATTTGTTATTTTGCTTACTATAGGGACTAGGATCTTCAAATCTTGCTAGTTGATGCATCTTAGGACTTCACATCATGTTAACACAAAAGTAGGTCAGGGTGACCTACTTTTTAAATTTTACGGGCTTCCATTTTTCAAATTGATTTGGAGGCATATTTTGGACACTTTAAGGAGTAGCTATTACCATCAAAATCATTTGATGTATCTTGGGTCCTAAAACAACATCAACTTTAAAGTAGGTCAGTGTGACCTATTTTTAAAATTTTATGGCTAATCTTTTCTAAAACATTTAATCCCATTATTTCAGACACTGAGAGGTTTAGAATCACCAAATCTTGTAAGTTGATGCATCTTGGGGCCTTAAAATATATTTATGAAAAAGTAGGTCACTGTGACCTACTTTTTGAATTTTGCAGGCATTTGTATTCAAATTGTTTAAAAGGCATATTTTGAATACTTTCAGACCTATGATCATCAAACTTTGTCAGTTGATGCATTATGGGTCTTCGGAAAATATCGACCAAAAATAGGTCACGGTGACCTACTTTTGACATTTTATGGCTATATTTAAGTATCTTAGGTACTTAATGGCTTTGAATCATCAAACTTTGTCAGTTGATGCAACTTGGGTTTTCGGAGAATGTCGACCAACAAATAGGTCACTGTGACCTAGTTTTGAATTTTATGGATATATATAAGTATCCCGGTACTTATTGGCCTAGATTGTTAAACTTTGTCAGTTGATGCATCTTGGGTTCTCGGAGAATGTTGACCATAAAGAAGGTCACAGTGACCTACTTTTGAATATATCAGGTACTTATTGGCTTAGAATCATCAGTCTTTGTTAATTAATGCACCTTGAGTCCTCAGAAAATTTTCAAATCAAAAAGTAGGTCACCGTGACCTACTTATGGTATTTTATAGCTATACTGGCTAAGAATAATCAAACTTTGTCAGTTCATGCCTCTTGGGATACTTAGAGTTGGAAGCTTCAAATAGGAGTGATAGATTGTACAATTTATCAGAAGAGCAATTTAAGGCCCTTGGGTCTCTTGTTTTCTGTCTTTTTTCAATTGATTTAGACATGATACCAGGGCAAGAAAAATGTCAAAAAATGAAGCATTTTCAAAAAAATACTATGAAATAAAACCTAGAATATAAAAATATCTTAAGAAATTATTTATATCCTGAAAAACCAGTCTGTCCACAGATGCTTAACAAAGATAAAACTTGGAATGGCCTCATATATACATAAAATGTCTCTTCTCATAGCTATTAAAGTATTTTTTACCAGAAAATTTTTCATGATTTTTGACAATGATCATTGAGAAAAAAAGTTTCAAATTCACATACATGTAAATATTGATAATGATACAGATTAAAGAAATTGTTTCCAATAAAAATAACTTTTAGGCCAGATAAATTAATTTTTAGATTCTCATCCTCGCCCGCCCCTCTCAAAGTGTCCTGCCCCAGTGTTTTTTATTTTGATTTTTGGGTGTTAATAAAAGTATTTTCATGTATTTTTATTCAGCAAGAATTTGGGTCAAAGTATTAAGAGTTATCTCCAGTCTGTATTAAAAGTTGTGTGCCGCTATTTATAGCAAAAAAAGCCACATCAATAATGAAGAAAAATCGTCAATAAAAGCACTTTAAATATGTAAGGAAAAGAAAATTTGTCAGTATAGAGAGGGTAGAGAAGAAAAAATAGCATAAACAGATCTAGATACCGTCATTGGCATGAGCAAGTTTTTAGAGAGATAATTAAGTAAAAATAGATGAGGAAAATGACACCTGGTCAAGTTTGAACGATCTCCAGCTGTGTGTGATTTTGCTTTGGAAAAAAAAGATAAAACATTGTAGGCAGACTTCATAGAATGTTAAGTGCTAAGGCAATGTTAAATCTTAAACTGTTCAGTGCCTAGGTTTTTAAGTAGAAAATTTTTTATTAGAATATTTCATAGATTTTGCAATTACATGCATGACCTATTTTAATGTCAAACATGTCAAGTCTCAAGAACGATCAAATTTTTGAGGAAGGTGGAAATCTTTGATATATTACAGAAAACAGAGGTATTTGTTGGTAAAACTAAAAGGTAATTGGGGAAAGGCCAGTGAGAAGTCATGCTTACACAATTTATTGGTATCCTCACCTCATTTTGTTTGGCTTTTGCCGTATATGTGTACTTCATAATTTTAATTAACAATTAATATTTAAATTTTTTAAAGCAAGAATCTTCTTTAAATATTTAAAAGAATATGAAAAGAATAAAAGCTATTCATTTTGGCATTAATTAACATAATGAAAAAAATGTGTATGAAGAGTCCATGTTTTGTTGATACTTACAATTTAAGAATTATAAAAAATAAAATCTGCCCACCCGCCCCAATATTTTAGCAAATTAGGATGAGAATCTAAAGATTAATTTTATCTGGCCTTAAAACTTTTATTATTTATGATTCTTAAGAGTCTCTAACCTCTTCAAACAGAGTTATGTATCCAGTACTGGAGACAAACAAGGAAGGAGTCATCAGATGTTCAGATTGCTCAGTCAGTACCCAGACACTGTCTTAGACAGCGCTATACAGAAAATGAGGGCGGAGGGTGTGATTGTCAAGAATAAGGTCAGTAAGTCACATAGAGGTGTCATTGTCAAAAATAAGGTCAGTAGGTCACATAGACAAAGGATGGACGGTGTCATTGTCCAAAATAAGGTCAGTAGGTCACATAGAGGTGTCATTGTCAAAAATTAGGTTTGTAGGTCACAAAAACTAAGGGTGCATGTTGTCATTGTCATAAAATAAGTTTAGTAGGTAACATAGAAAGTCCTTGGAGATTTTTTCGTTGTCTTATAATAAGGTCAGTAGGTCTTATATGCAGCATATTACTGAAACTCAGGGTGGATGGTGTCATTGTCAAAAAAAATGGTTAATTAAGGAATCACTGTCTAGTTAGTAAAGTATGCCAGGGACATCAACAATAGTGGGAAACATGGGATAATTTATGCATAATGGGCTACGCCCGTTATGCAAATTATCCCATGTTTCCCACTATTGTTAATGTCCCTGGCATAAGAAAGAAATTAATTAACCATTTCATTGTGAAGTAAAGTTGTAGATTAAGATTTTAAAAATGCAGACATAGATTTAAATTACACGAGGACTCCCATCCCAATGTCAATAGTCCTAGCCCACTGACGTCAAACATAACAGCAGCCGCATGAGATTTTCGTGCATTTTTGGCGTCCATAGCGTCAGACTCACAGACAGATGTGCACGAGATTTGCTTGCATATTAGGCCTCCTTAGCTCCTGACCTATTGATCTGCCTAATTTACATTCCAGTAGAATTATCAAGAAATGAACTCCGCAAAGTTTCAAAGAGTTATCACAGGGACAAAAATTAGAAATGGAAATATAAGGTCTTATACACAGTGCAACAGAGAAACTGAAGCTGGATAGTGTTATTGTCAAAAGTAAGGTCAGTGGGTCATATATAGAAGCACCAACATATAGAAACTAAAGGAAGTGGGAGCAATCATCATGATCATCAAATTCTGTGTAATTATGTGCCTCTGAGATTAGGATTGTGACAAATGTTTATGACCAAACTTAAAGTAAATTAACAGTGATCAAATAATACCTATGAAAGTTTTTTTTCCATTCATGTCATTGAGTAACAGACATCAAATATTTGTGAAGTGGAGCTAAAAGCTTGTATATTTTGAGACCCAAAACAGTGTTACCATAGCAATTTTTTCTCATAATGCAACAATTTGATATCTGATCTGTATACACAGTGCTTTTGTTGCTAATTCCAGAGGATATGAAGTATTTGCATTTAAACAAGATACAATCTAACAGTTTGTTGAGTAGTTAAGTGCTACAAGGGAGACTTATTGCAACCCTGCTCTTATCAGATTGATTCTTAATTTAAGTCATTTTCCTTTTTTTACAGAGAACAGAAAACTCCAAAGTAATAGAAACAGGAATAAAGAACATCAAGTTATCCCAAAGGTATAGAATTATCAATAATCAAAGCAAGATTGGTTTTTGTAGGAAACAACTATCACAAATGTATGGATTTATTAGACAAAGGCTGAAAGAGCTTATACTATGGCCAGTTGTGTGGTGTGCCGGATATTTTTGGAATATGAACCATTATCAAGATTCCTTTTTTGTCAAATTTGTTAATAAAGTTTTCTTGGCCTAAGGGCTTTTATTTACGATATGTTGAGTGTTCCACGGAACACATGTGTCACCTACTTTAAGTTTCTTTAAAGATGTCACTTAATCTAAGAGTGGTCAGCTATCTCTATGCTACTTAATGTAGCATTTCATGAAAAAAAAAATCCAAGGATAATGAGAAGACTTGGATAGAATTTGACAGTCAAATAGAAATATAAATCCCAAGCCCCTCAAAGGTAAAATGGATATTAATACAGTCTTTAATATTAATATTAATATATTGTAATATTAATTATAAATAATTATTTATCAATAAATTTTAATTTTTATACTGTGACATCCCTAATTTTCATGGGGGTTTAATTTTCATTGTTTTTCGAAGTATGAAGAGATCCACGAATTCATGTCCAAAACGAAAAGTAAAATGTCATATGCATGACTGCTCCACAATTGTTTATCCACAAAATCAATTCCCAATGAACAGTAGATTTTCCTAAAACCACGAAAATATGTGATTTTACAGTACTTGATTTCAACCAAACTTCAATCTGTCTTTTCCACAATTGTTAGTCAACACAATCCTTTTAGACTACCCATCCCGATGTATTTTCATAGTATACGTACTTATATTTCAGTTTTTGTGGTTATTGTATTTTATAACAGCATCAAAGTAACTTGTAACAAGCTCATAAACATATATAAATGATAATTATCAAGTCCCTTCCTCTCTTAATTCAAAAGATGTAAGTTAAATTTAACCCTCTGCATAATATCTTGCAAAGTAGGTCAAAGGTCAGGATCATGTGGACTTTAACACTGGTATTTTTCAGAATATTTTATTTCAAACAGTTCACTTTCTAAATAGCATACTAAGACTTGCCTCTCAAATGTCAAAAAGAACTTGTATATTGGTACTGTCAGCTATTTCAAAAAGAGGGTCAAAGGTCAAGTTCAAGGATAACAAGGTCAAAAGTCACGGAAAAAGCAAAAAAGTTTTTGTACCAAGCTACAGATGTGCAAAGTATCAAATACATACTGTAAGTCGTTTTAATTCCATGGTGGTAAAATTTCACGATTTCTGAAAAAGTACCAATCGCGATGGTTTTAATTTCACGCTGCAAGAACTTCATTTTAATTTCGTATACACATTTAAACATTTTTTAAAACCAATGACAGCATTCAAGCATTCACGATGGGTTTAATTTCACGGAAAAATGACGAATCGCAAACATAGTGAAATTAAAACCATCATGATTATTTGTCAATCTACAGTATCTCGTACAGTTTTGAGATATAAGGTGTGACAGACAGACAGACACTGGGTCCCTTGGTGCCTCTCTGGAAAAGATAAATAGGAAAAAAACAAAGGTTAAGGAACTGGATTCTTGATTGTAAACAATGCTGTATAATCCTTTTTGTAGATATTTCTTCCGATTTCATTCTCGATATCCAAATGCCTTATTTACCAACTGTTTTGCGACCATCAAGGAACTCCAAAGATCAGATGAGGGCAATTTCAGTACCATAGAGGTCAAGGACAATATCAATGGAGGCTTGTGTGCTGCCATTGTACAGCTTATTCTCAGGAGGCGGGTATGACTAATCATTTGTGTCAGACAGATTATTGTTTTATAGCAAAATTTAAGGTGTTTTAGAATTCTGTCCCAAGGTCATTGGTGTTTTAATTGATGTCTTAATTTTTGTGTGGAGACCATATACTTTATAATTTGATTTCCTTAACAGCTAAGTGTTGTGTTGGAGATACCCCTAGATGTAGTTATATTGGACCCACAGTTCAAGGAAGGTCGAGGCTATAACCAACAAATGTCAGTCAAGCGACCCCGACTACAGGAAGTTCTCGACTCAGATGATGAGGATTTCCCTCTCGAACTGGGTAAGTTGTAGACTCAAGAGGGTAAGTTTTAGACTCAAGAGGTTAAGTTATAGACTTAAGAGGGTAAGTTATAGACTCAAGAGGGTAAGTTGTAGACTTAAGAGGGGAAGTTATAGACTCAAGAGGGGAAGTTGTGTACTGAAGAGGGAAAGTTGTAGACTCAAGATGGTAAGTTTAAGACTCAATCTTGGTAAATTTAGACTTGACCTCAATGGGCTTGGTAAGTTTAAGCTCAGTATGCTTAAGTTTTAGACTCAACTTTGGTATGTTTAAGACACAAGAAGGACAGTTTAAAACAGAGAGGGTAAGATTGAGACTCAACATTGTTAGTTTTAGAAACAATATGTATATGTAAGTTTTATGTGATGTTTATATTTCAGTTGTCCATATGCATCCATTTGACCATTTGTCTAGACATTAATCACCCTTTTTTCAAGTGTAAATGTAATTTTATTCAAAGACTATTTGCTGTGATCTCAATAAAACTTTGTATTCAAGAAGACAAAACCAATATACTTTTCTTCAGTTTTGTTTTTAACTTAAGAACTTGCAGTGGTCTGTCATTAAAATAAAATGCCCTGTTGTTTCTCTTTCTACAGTATAAGTCTGTTTACAGAAACTTAGTACTGCCAAGTGACTAGGCAGAATCTTATAGATATAACAGATACAAGTATCAAGTATGACGAGTCACTTTGAATAAAATGTTACAAACATTTGAATGATCATAGGCTGAAAAGTTATAATCCAGTCTAAATAATCGTGTATTCAGTATGTTGAGCTTCTGTTCCAATGTAACATTTAGACAAAATAATTAATGCAATGGTTATATGATTTATTGCATGTATAGTTTTGGTTGTTGCAAAATAATAACTATTTGTTAAGGTAGGATTCTTCTCTGGTTTCTGACTAGATGAAACATTCAAAGTATATTTGCTTATATGTCTTATATATTGAGGTGTAAGGAATTTAAAAGACCATATTTTTCTTTCCTCATCAGAAATGTACAACTTTAAATAGAAATGGTAAACTGCGATTGAAAACTAGCAGGGACTATATTTTTGGCGGAATGGTGGCGTATGAAAATATCTTCTTTTCTGCCTCTCAAAATTATAATAAAACAATGAATTTAGCTATAATTTTACACAATCGACGACTTGGAGAAATTTTTAAATATAAGTTAAATTAATAATGAGGGACTGAACTTTCAAAATATATCAAACAAATATGATTTTTCAAACAAATTAGAACTTTGTTAGCTTTTAAACGCTTCCTATCAAAGTGCAGATTTGAGCCAAAAATCCATAAAACGTATTTTTTCTCTCTTAGTAAACGATCAAAACTTTTTGTTTTTGTATCATTTTGTACATTTCTAAGACTACTTTATTATATGTGAAAATAAGAAAAAGTTAAATATAGGAAGCATATGAAAATAACTAATATATCCTAAAAAATTAAGAAAAACAGAGAAAATTCGGATTAGACAATATCCAGTTATGTAAATTTGGTAATATCATGCTATAGACCTGATATAGTAATATGTTTTTATGCAAAAAGAACAATCATTAAACTTTTGAAATAGAAGTAGGTATCACATGATTGGCAACAGTATTTTTTTATTCTTAATGTCAAGGAAAAAGATAATGACTTTGACCTGACCTTGCCTCTAATATAAAACGGTCAAATTCAATTTCACTGATACTCTCACTTACTGATAATGTCTTCTTGATTCTGCGAAAATTTCATTAATTTTTAAATATTAGAAATATGACAAGAATCCTACCTTAAGTATTCTACAGTATGGATGCCATTTGATTTTTGACAGATCAGAAAGAAATTCGTCCTAGGGTCCTAGAGCTGGAGTCCCCATGGGAACTAGTCAGGCAGATTGATGGTCAATCTTTTGTTTATGATGAAGACGGAAAAACCATAAAGGAATATTCAGTTGGAAACAGGAGTACCATTAGGTTTCAGACAGACGAGAGCCTAGAAGAGGGAAGGAAAGGCAAGGAGAAGTCCCGGATGAACATCATGTGTGCATCCCGCGCCCTGGTTACCATGAGGAGATCTCGGGCCGAGCAGGATCTAGAGCTCAAACATTACGTAGTACAAGATAACTTTCTGATCCAGGCCTGCGAGATTAAGCTCGGAATTAGTGAGGAGGAAGGCGGGGAGAAGCTGCCCCTACTGGATATTCCTCATAACAGGGAAAAGACTAGGGAAATTATCAAACGAGTCCAGAGTTTTATTCCTTTCGAGGTGTGTGCATGATGTAAAGAATGCTGGTAGTCATAGGTTTACATTGAAATTTGACTCATAGAAAACACATCATACATGTACTTGTATGATTGTATTTTGAAGATTATGTTCAAACAAAAAAAACACTTTAGTTTTAATCAAGTAGCAAATAGAAACACTCAAAGAAATCACAATTTATATACACATTAAAGTTTTTGCTCATACATGTATTTGTATTCTAAGACATCGAGAGAAAAAAAAAATCTTGGAAAATGCTTTTTGAAATAGAAGTATGCATCACATGATTGACAACAGTATTTTTTTTTATAAAATAATTCCTGATTTGAAGGAAAAGGATTATGACCTTGACCTGACCTTGCTTCTTAAATAAAACAAACTTAATTTTCCCTCCTTAAAGTTAGTATGCACATGAGGCATAGAATATTCTCTTATTATAAAATCAATAAAATTTATTTGTAAGAACCAAAAAAAGAGCGACAGAGTAGGGTTTTTGAGCTATGATACTCAGAAAGTTTCTTATATTACTTCAATTTCCTAATATTTGAGCCATAGGATTATATTAGAATGGTAAACATTTAGTTTTCTACTTTAATTAGTTTTGTATATGTAGAGAATTGATAATCAAACCTTTTCAAAAAGTTGAAGAGGGAGTACTTTTTTAAAAAAACCAACGGTTTTGGCAAAGATTATGATTATTTGAATGAGAATTGAATATGCTTCTGTTCACAACTTAAATCTTGTGTTTTTAAACTCTAAACCTCTGATTTTTTATTCAAAATTTTGATTTTTTATGTATAAAAGTGTATTTAAAAAAATTGAATTCAATGAAGATTTTAAAGTATTTATTTTAATTTTCGTGAGATGTGTATATTTAAAAAATATCTACATCAGATGTGCTGTGTATTATACATTTTCTGTCTGATAATACATGTAACACACATTCCCTATTTTGATTATGATCTCTGTATTTTACTGCAGTTGGACTTGGAAGAAGTTTGGTCTACAGTGGAGCCTGGATTGATGGAGTCAGTCAAGTCTGTGTATAATATGATCCACTCCTCGGGAGAGTTAGGAATCTGTCACTTCTACCTCAAGGTGGGAAATTCACTCACATACTGGTATATTCTAAATCATTTACTGATAAACTGAAATAAATGTTAGAAAAATCACAACTTTGTCTATTGGCCAGGGCTCCTTATTCTTGTGGCCATTAAGGGAAAGTGAACCTTTATTCAGATACTTTAACCGTAAAAGATTTGTACTGTTTTAAATTTAATAAACTAAAGGGTTTTTGTTATCAACTGAATTATCAAAAGTCATGAAGTGGGATTGATGTTCATTCCATTTAAATATAAGAAAAATCAATAATACGTTTTACAGATTTATCAGAAATGTGCTATAAAGTGTAGTGAGAACTTAGCTCACCAAATGATGCTCCCCACAGGCACGTAGCAACAAATGGGGGGCCCGGCCCCCCCACTTTTTAGCTCACCTGAGCCGAAGGCTTTTCTGATCACATTTTGTCCGTCGACCATCTGTCTGTAAACTTTTCACATTTTCGACTTCTTCTCAAGAACCACTTGGTCATTTTTAATCAAACTTGGTACAAAGCATCCTTGGGTAAAGGGGAGTTTAAGATGTTAAAATCAAGGGTCAAGTCCCTTCACAAGGGGGGATAATCAAGACAAGAGGCCCATGGGCCTTATAGGTCACCTGAGTATCCGGTAACAACTTTCCAACAATTGAATTTGATTCATGTTTTAAACCAGAGGCCATGAAAATCACAATTTTGAAAGAGACACCATTGCTTATCATCATTATACACTTAGCATGCTTACTTTGGTTACTTAATACCCAGAGGTAAATCAGAGCAACAAAGAGAAAATGAATTTCTATTCATAAACTGTTGTGCACCCCACCCCACAGGAACCACTGATCCTAAGGGCCACATATTTCAAAATTTTGGATATTTTATCATGGATTTATTTCATCATAAATTTTTGATTGATATCAAAGTGCAGATTTCAAAGCATTGATTTATATTCAGACTATGTACCCTCCCCCCTCCAAATACGTCTGACCCAGAAGCCCGGAAATTAACCATTTTGGAAGAAGCAGCTTTCTTCATTGTAAATATGTACTTACATGTACATCATTGGCATAATACCCAGGAGCAAAAGAAAAGTTTTTCAAAGAATTCATCCATTTTCATTGTATAACCATTAGAGCCCTGCCCTAACACATGAAGCCCTGACACAGGGGCCCTGAAATTCACAAATCTCAAAGAGGCATCCTTCCTTCTCATAACTATGTACATAGATCATTGGTTTAATACCCAGGTGCAGAAAAGATTTCAAAGAAATAATACATTTTCACTATATAATCTTTATAGCCCCACCCTAGCACTAACACCCCTGACCCTGGGGCCATGAAATTCACAATTTTGCAAAAGGCATTGTTGCAACTACTATTGAAATAACAACCACTATTGAAATAATTATATCAATAGTAGTTGAGAGTGCATTTCAATAACAAACATAGTTAGTAACCACTATTGAAATACAACTACTATTGAAATAATTATTTCAATACTGGTTGAGAGTGCATTTCAATAACAAACATAATATGGAACCACTATTGAAATATGACCACTATTAAAATAATTCTTCAATAGTGGTTGAGAGTGCATTTCAATTACAAACATAGTATGCATTCACTATTGAAATACGACCATTATTGAAAGAATTATTTCAATAGTGCTTGAGAGTGCATTTCAATACCAATTGACATAAGTTGCAACTACTGTTGAACTGATGTTTATTATTTTTAAAATAAATAATTCAATAGTGATTAGCATATAGATTTCAAAAGTGATTGAAATATTGATTTCAATTGTGCTTAAAACAATGATTTAATGGATATTAAAATAACTAGGAGACTTATTGTTCACAGAACAATAAGAGGTCTTTCCACCTTTTGAATTTCAATTTCATTTAATATTTATCTATTTAAAATTAAATTTCATAAAAAAGAAACCAGGAATGGCTAAAAAAAAGAAAAAAAATGAAAATGAAATTTTTTTTTTTAGGTGACCTTGACCTTTGACCTTCAAGTCGTATTCAAGGTCAAAGGTCAAGGGTCACATTGTAATTAACCCCATGTCTCTATGACTTATAGTTTAAAAGTTATGAGGTTTAATATTAAGCACAAAAGCATTTAAGGGCAGTAACTCATTCAAGGAGTCAACAGATCCTTTTGCCCTTGAACATAAAAGTTTTGCCTAAAGTCCCATAAGACATTAGAGAAGGTTTCGTGTCTTTGCGGTTTACGGTTTTTGAGCAATAGCAATAAAAATGTTTTTCGTACAAGGGGCAATAATTTTTAATAGGGTCAATCTTAAGGGACGAGAATGAAATCTAAGACACAGTTTTAAAAGTACATATTAATGATGCATAGACATTAAGCATATGTTGAAAGACAAAAGAGATATAAAAAGAGCTAAATTTCTCAGTTTTGGAATGACCTTGACCTTTGACCTTTACATGAATTTTAAGCTCAAAGGTCAATGAATCTTATGCAGTTGGGCTTATGTCTCTATACCTTCTCGTTTTGAAAATTTTTAATTATTTCTAAAAATCAGAGACTTTCAAGGGCAATAACCCATTGAAGGAGTCACCAAATACTTTCACAATGAATAAATTCCAGAACCCTCTCAATTAGTCGAAGACTTTAGTGAAGGTTTCATATTTGTACGGTTTACGGTTTCGAAGTAGTAGCGATAACTAGGTTTTCCGCACAAAGGGCGATAACTTTTAATAGGGTCAATCTTACGGAATACGAATTGAATCTTCCAAATAGTTTTAAGAGTACATATTAATGATGCTAAGACAGTTTGTATATGTTAAGAGACAAAAAAGATATAAAAAGAGCTTAATTTCTCAATTTTGGAATGACCTTGACCTTTGACCTTTACATGAATTTTAAGCTCAAAGGTAAATAAATCTTATGCAGTTGGTCCCATGTCTCTATCACTTCTCGTTTTGAAAATTTTTAATTATTTGTAAAATTCAAAGACTTTCAGGGGCAATAACTCATTGAAGAAGTCATCGAAGACTTTCGCAATGAATAGATTCCAGAATCCTCTCAATTAGTTGAAGACATTAGTGAAGGTTTCATATTTGTACGGTTTACGGTTTCAAAGTAGTAGCGATAACAAGGTTTTCCGCACAAAGGGCGATAACTTTTAATAGGGTCAATCTTACGGAATACGAATTGAATCTTAAAAATAGTTTTAAAAGTACATATTAATGATGCTAAGACATTTTGTATAAGTAAAGAGACAAAAAAGATATAAAAAGAGCTTAATTTCTCAATTTTGGAATGACCTTGACCTTTGACCTTTACATGAATTTAAAGCTCAAAGCTCAATGAATCTTATGCAGTTGGTCTCATGTCTCTATCTCTTCTCGTTTTGAAAATTTTTAATTATTTCTAAAATTCAAAAAGTTTCAGGGGCAATAACTTATTGAACGGGTCACCACATACTTTCGCAATGAATAGATTCCAGAGTCCTCTTAATTAGTCGAAGACTTTAGTGAAGGTTTCATACCTCTACGGTTTACGGTTTCGAAGGAGTAGCGATAACAAGCATTTCTTACAAAAGGGGCAATAACTTTGAAAGGGGTCAAAGATCAAACATGGGGGGTCGTTTTTCAGAATAACTTTTAATATCCAATATCATGAACTATAAAGTTTTTCGATAAGTCTTGCGGTTTCAAAAGTCCGGGAAGAAAAATAATAATAACTAGGAGACTAATTGTTCTCTGAACAATTAACGGCTTTCCACCTTTTTAAAGTGTTCATGTCATTTGAATTAAAAAAAAAAAAAAAAAAAAAGTTTCTCCAGCTGGGCTTGAACCTACAACCCTCAGTTTGTAAGTCGGACACGCTAACCATTGAGCCATCAAGTTGTACACAAGTAAGCGTATTTTGTAAACTAATTTATTTTTTGAAGGTGGAAGAGGATACCTGTAGTTTCGTAGGAAAGTACCGGTCAAATTTCTTAAAAAACTGAGATCTTGCCGGTTTGATGTGATATTGTATGTAGGAAAATGATTAGAATAATTATGGGACACATTTGCAGTGAAGCAATGACACTTAGCATATATAGAGTCGTAAAAGCGAAAGTAATACACGTGGTCAGTTGCAGAGGAAATTCAAAATCCCGGAAAAACAGTGAGAAAGTCATGGACATTTTTTCTACACTATAGTGTATAAAGCGGGGTATCTGCAATTGATTTAACCTATCTCAATTGCGTGGAAATTTATTTGATGTGAAAAATCGCTATTTCGGAGATTTAGATTTAAATCTAAATAAAATTAAAATAAATTCCATACACCTAAGAATGCAAGAATACTTGGTATTAAAATGTCGTAATAGAGCAGGAGAATCGAATGATATTAACAATACTTGCAGAAATAGCCAATACGAGTTTTATTTAATTTTTATGCTCAGCAATAACTAAATTTCAGACAGAAAAAAAATGCAGATTTTGCCGATATTCACTATAATTTCAAAATACTTTAGAGACTCACCTTAAAACTCTCAGGACCCTTTCTTTCAGGTCTATTCTTGCTTTTATTACGAATCTTATGCCGATATTTCGTTTCGTTTGACTTGTAGACATTTTCTCTAAGTTGGTGTTGATTTTCCTTTTAAAGGGGGGGGGGGGTAATTTTATAATCATTTGTTAGAGTCATGGTTGTAAATACCTCCACGACCTTTAGCTTGATTGTGACCTTTGGGTCAATGGGGTCAAAGGTCAAGGTCATTTATCAAGGTCAAAGGTCAAGGTCATAAAAAAGAGAGAGAGAGGTAAACTTGAGATTAACACTTGAAGCTGAATCTAGATAAAGGTAATGAATATTTCTTTATGACCTTTTGAGTAAGGGTCAAGGTCAGAGGTCAAGGTCAAATATCAAGGTCAAAGGTCAAGGTCATTTGAATTTTAAGCTTAAATTGACAATTTCTCTACTTTTCCAATGACCTTGACCTTTGACCTTGACCTATTTTCAAGGTCAACGGTCATAAGATC